TTCCTCTGCACACTTAAGTTACTTAAATACAAAAAGTCATTCGGAAAAGCTTTACTCTGACCTTCTGGCATAATGTCGGCCGCGAGGTCACGCCCAAAGAAAAACGATCTCAATGTTCCCATAAAACGCAGAGAAGGAAAGGTTTTTCGCCGAGAGGAGAAAAAGTCACTCGCCTTTATTGATGTCTTCTCTTTTTCAGCGATGAATATTAATTTTTGTTCCTGAACAAAGCGAAAATTTAAACGAGAGTAGCGATACGCGTCTTCTTATCATATGGGATTCTATGGCTCGTTGCTACGCAACGAGGTTTTGTTTGACCCCCAACCATATGGCCGATAAAACCGTGGAAGGGTCTATTAGCGCAATTTTATGTTGCCAAAAATGTGCACCAATACTTTCACGAACACCTTTATTACATCCACGTCCAATCGGGTAGAACTTTATATCTTTTGTTTTTCTTTTTTTTTTTTTAATTCATTTTAAGTCAAATGAATTTATCATTTCATAAATTTGCGAATAACTTAAACGTTTCGTAAAGTTCATGCAATTCTACCCCAGGAGACTATTTTGACAAAGTATCCACTCACACTCTTGGTAAGTCATGCCGTCACGCACTATACTAACTTTAGAACATTACGTATGCATATTTATGACCTTTCACTGCATATGCCGATGACGAAAAGTTGTCTTCGAACGTGACTAAACACTTTGGGAATATTGTCTGACTCAGTCAAGGTAAACCTTGAAAAAAGGTAAGTTGCAGTTTGCTGAATTAAGATTAAAATCAATTTAACTCACCTGGCGTCCCTCAAATAGAGTGCATTGAAAGGCAATGGACAGTGACCATTCAGTGCCTAATTATGTTACTAGTGCTTTCCTTAAGTTTCTTCGTTTGTACATAATTATTATATTATTCGACGTGTTCTGGAGCGATATCGCTTATTCGCTTATTTCGGAGTTTGTTTCGTCCGTAGGAAAACTCAGGGCGAAGAAGTTTCCAATCAGAGCGCTTCACAAGGAAATAAAAAGCGCTATCAGCTGTAAACGAATACATCACGATCGACTGATGCGTTGAATCCATTCGCAAGGATCGTAAAAGAAAGAAATATTCCTCCACGAAGCATTTAATTATTTCTTATATCAGCTTTTGCAATGAGTTACCCACCTCAACCACCGCCATACAATCCAACAAATCCTCAGCCGAACGCTGGAGTTGGTTTCGAGCAATATCAACAAGGAACTCCGTATCCTCCGCCGCCATATTCATCACCATATCCTCAACAGCAGTACGGCGGGCCTCCTACACAGCAAGGCTATCCTCCGCAGCAGGGCTTTCAGCAGCCGTATGGTCAACCGCAGTACGTCTACACAAACCAGCCTAAAACTGTTTACGTTTATGATCAAAGTGGGAGACGAAGACAAGACAACAGTGATGCGGCTGACTGTTTTCTGTTAGGGCTTTGTGCTGCATGTCTGTGCTGTTGTGTTCTCGACTAAAATCAGTGACATCTAAACCTGTCTGCATATGTTATATGTTAGATTTTCTCACTATTAGCTTTTATTTGTTTTGAGAAAGCCTCTCTGTAGTTTTATAACACAAGAATAGAACAGAAATTGTGATATTCAACTATGTATGTACGTTAGTATTTGTTGACATTGTGAATAATTATAACTCAAAACTGAAATTATTGCATAATTATAAGAGTTTATCCTAACGCCAATTTGACAGTTTCCGATGCAAATGTAGCGCGATCGAGTAGCAGGTCGTAGTTCCATATATGGTCGAATAGATAAATATTTCAAAATACAACGAGGAAAGTAAAATTGGTGGTGTAAATGTGTGACAAGGTTTCCTGAAAACTGAATTAGAGGTAAATTGGGGAACAGAACATTTCTAAAGTTTTTCAAGGATTTTTTTAAATTTTCATTACTATTGTTTCATAAGGTCGCACTAATAGCAAGTATGATAGATATTGTAAGAAATATACAACTTTTTTGAAAGTCATGTTTTGGCATCTTCAGATGACATATGCATGCTGAAACATGTCTATTAAAACAGTTGTATATTTCTTACAATAACTATTGTTTCAAAACCAAAAAAAATTATATCATATGCACTCTTGTCCAAAATTTATTTTAGGTAATAATTACATGACCATAAACATTGCTGTATTTCAAATATGTTGGGTGTTGAAATTAAGAGTATGCGAAATTTACATAAGGCAAAATTTAGTGTGCAAATCAGAGCATTGAAGGACACCAGTATATGAACAAACAGTACCATGCTAGTGTGAAAAACAAAAATTTCTTTTTATCAAAGCCTGCATATTTAGCTTTTGTGGAGCAGACAGCTCCTGAAAGGTTTGGTTTGAGATGGAGAAGTGTTTACTCCTCTAAAAATCTGCTCATAGAGCATGAACTTATGAAATACACACTCTTCCAGAAGAATTGAGTGTAAGCCCAACCTCTGATATTTTTGTTAAACCACTCATTTTTGTTGGTTTTGTTTTAGGTACTTTCATTTTGAAAGGAAAAGTAACAGGTTATTAAAGCCTAATGATAATTTATCATCATGGTTGTATTTACAAGTGTGTACAGCATTTTCATCTCTCTGATGGTTATTGTCCCTTATACTGCACAGGGACCAAAGGGAGGGGAGGGTGGTGAAACTGTGCTGTGCCTGGACTACCTCACAAACTGTCAGGTCAACCACCTGAACTTTGGGGTTTGTTTGTTCACTTAGTACACGAAAGTATTTCATCGTGGGGAAGCTGCAGGCATCTAAGGGGTTCTTTCCTTTCAGTAAAAGAAGCCATACTTGAATTTACACAATCCAACACAAGCCTGGTATAAGCTCTAGCACCAGTACAAGGAAGAGAGTGAAAATCAAGGGTCATTGTATTTTATTATAAGAAAGAAAGCATTCACCCCTCTATCTCTGACTGGTATACTACCTGACAAATGATTCTCGATAGGTATTACTTCAAATGAACTTCGATCAAAACAGCTACTGCACCTTCTGCCAGCCAAATCAAGGAAATACAGTATACTAAAATATTAGTTTTTGCAAACAACTTGAAATTGCCACTCAGCAAATTTCTTCATCGCTACCTTTGGATCAAGTGAGAGGTTATCCCAAAAAGAAACTGTCTAAGATTCACCCATTTGTGCAACTTTGAAAGAGTTCCAAAAAAGTAACTAAAAAAACTGGCCTCAATATTAGGATCTTCTGATGTGATCTTTCCTATAGAAATGGAGATGCAGGACATTAAGACCATGTTTTGAGCATGCGAGTGGATCTAGGAGGTTTTGATGGGGGGTGGGGGTCCAAACTTTGATAAAAAAAATGTGGAATTATTGTTATCACACTATTGCCTTCAGCTAATTAAGCTGAGAAATATTTCAAGGAAAGAAAATTTTAAACACCTAGAGAATCTTGGTGTCACATCTGATGGTGTGGGAGGTTTGGACCTTGTAGGCCTTCCCCCTAAAAAATGCACCATGCAAAGTCAACATGAAAATGTTTAGGAGATATTGGCTGTGTTTAAGGCAGATGTAAGCTACTTCAGCTGGAACTGTAATTCTCAGTTTCACAGGTTTCTTTTTCTATCTTTTTATAGTCAGTGGTAGACATAATCTATGGGATATTATGGGATATTATGCCCAGCTCAAGGACGTGTAATTGCTCCTCACAGATTTTCCTGTGCTAGTGTTGGTCAAGTTTGATAGTGATAAAAACAATAATGATAATTAATGATAATTAGAGTTAAAATCAAGCCTTCTGAATTTTTTGGCTAGCCACACTGCCTTCAAAATCAGTTCCAGGTCCCTATCAGAATTAACCAATGCCGTGTGGTGTAGCTCATCTGAGCTTTACCTGGCCTACTCAATTGTATTGTATTGTAATCTTTATTTAGACACGATCAATTCATCAGCCTATAAAAATACATATCACATACGCTAAGATATTTAAAATTAAAACTACATACTATAACACTAAAGCTGTTTTCCGTGAATGCCGTGCGTTAGACTTAAAAAATGTCATTGATCTTACGTTTAAATAACCCCAGAGACTCTGTGTTCCTTATATCGCTTGGTAAACTGTTCCATAATGTGGCGCCATTGTAGCTAAAGCTTTTTCTGTAATAATTAGTGCGCGGTAGTGGAACATTAAGCTTATTTTCAGAGTCCCTGAGGTCATAAGCAGAGTCACGCCACGTAAACTTTGAATATAGATACCTTGGAGCTAGCCCGTGCAGACATCTAAACATCATGGTGGCTTTATGGATTTCCTGCTGGCGTGCAAGATTTTTCCACCCTAAAAACTCGAGTAGCTCAGTTGCATCAGCATCATAGTTAGAGAATGTCAACACACGGGCTGCTCTATTCTGCAATTTCTGCAGTTTGTCTCGTAGCGTTTTCCCACAGCTACCCCAAACAATGTCACAGTAATCAAAGTGAGGTTTTACTAAAGCTTGGTAGATGAGATGTAAGGTTGATGCTGGGATCAGGTGCCTAATTCGCTTTAGGGCCCCGATACCAGAGGCGATCTTTTTCGTTAGTTTTTCGATGTGACTATGCCAATCGAGTTTATCGTCTATTATTACACCAAGCGATTTTGTAGCTGAAACCTGGCTCACTTGAGTATTGTTCATTCTAATTGTTGGTGAAGCTGTGAGAGTATTCAGTCTCTGCCTCGACCCTATTAGCATGAATTCGGTTTTAGTCATGTTCAACGTGAGTTTGTTCGCTTGTAGCCAGTTGAAGACGTTTTCTAGGTCTTCATTTAGACAAAACTGAACGTTCTCAAGATTGCTTCCCGCATATGTGAGGTGCGTGAGGTGCACTCAATAATGTGCAGCAGACACTACATCATTTTATAGTTTAATATTAAATTTATCATTAGCTCATATTTTTTATGTACATCTTGTATACCTAGCTAGTATCCTATTTTTGTTATACTTTCAGATGTTTTTATATTGTAATATTCAGACATTAGAAAGACATTTTATAGTTTGATATTCAATGTCCATAGCTCTTTTTTTTTTTACATACACTCTGTACACTTACACAAAGTATCTTAATTCTGTTATAATTTTAGATCTAGGGCCACAAGTTGATCAGTTATTTTAACTATTCAGTACCATCCCCTTTAAATAAAGTATATTATTATTATTATTATTATTATTATTATTATCATTATTCTTGTTCTTATTAATTATTTTTATTGTTATTCTTATTATCATGAATTATTATATGGCTGTGTCTCACAAGGACTGGGAACTACCGAATTCACGAATTTGATTGGCTGAAATCAACATTGAAAGCGGTCTAGATTTTCCCATCTAGACCGGCATTTGGACCGGTCTAGAAAAAAAAGGTACAAAGAATATAAAAAAATTGGCAAAGAAGACACAGCCATATAATAAACATCTTATTAAACGAGCTTGGTCTCGGTCTGTATGAGAGAATCTTGACCTCGGTCGCTGGTACAGACCTCACTGCGTTCGGTCTGTACTGGCGACCTCGGTCAAGATTCTCTCATACAGACCTCCCGCTCGATCGGTTAATAAGAACTAAGTATTACTCCGAGAAATATGGGCCACTGGCATGGAGGAAGGGGAGATGTGGGGGAGGAAGAGATGAGTGGGTGTTACAACACCCACTAAATATTGATATTGTAGCTACTTTTAGTAATAATGAACAATAACCATAAGTGTACTTTCAAGTGGAAGAAGCTTTCCTTTAAGAGTGAGTAACGTAAATGCAATGAGGTGTGAATCACGCCTACGCGAGCTCGAACAAATTGCAGAGGAAGTGATTGAAGCGCTTTGGAAGGTTTTCAGTGTTCTGTCGCGGGAAATCATTAATCCTGTTTAAAATTATTTGATCCGGTTGCTGCTCCCTCTCTCTTTCCCTTTTCTGGTTCTGTCCTGGTGTACCGGTTCACAAGGGAATCACCATTGTTCTTTCTTTGTTTAGGAGTTATTGGTTAGCTATTGTGTATTGTTTGGTATTTTGTATTGGCTCTTATGAACCGGTACACGAGGACAGAACCCCTTTTCTTTTTGGTTTTTTTGTTTTAATAATTTCCACTCGGTTGACATTCTTTCGAGGTGAAGTCAGATGGCTCATAACTGTTTCACTTCAAATGCTGGTAAATAGTTCCTTTGTTGGCAGAGACGCTATTAAAGCAGTTTCGAAACTCTTGCTTTGAATCATCGTCAAGTCTCAAAATGAAACGGTAAATTTCGAAATGTCAGCGATCGAGGAAGAATCCGTAAATTTTCGACGTTACTCTAGAAAGTAACGCAACTTTTTCGGTCACGCGAGAAATATGCGAATTCTTAAGGGTCGATAACAGCGAAGGAAACTTCAGCTTCTTTCCCATCTTTTTTTTTTTTTTTTGACAAACTTGAGTTTATCGATATCCCATACTACATGAACCGCATTTTACAAAATTCGTAAGAGGAAACCTCGAACCTTAGTTTCGAGCAAAAATGAAACTCAAAATATCATCAGTAACAGATCGCATTTAAACGTGAATGGAAAATTTTTAAAATGATAATCAAGCTATTAGTAAAGAATCAGGACATTTATTGCTTAATGCGGCTCGAACCGGATGTGTGTTATAAATAAACTCACCGGATGTTCAAGATGTGGTGTGTTTATCAGTATCATAAATTGGAAGTGTAGTGACACATACAAATTACATTCGTTGCTATACAAAAGAATGACAGAGCCACTTAACGTCAGTGAAAAAGAGCTTTTAGCGACGGAAAAGGAAAAACAATGACTGTCTGCGTTGGGTTGTAGATTGGAAATTTTAGATTGGAGTTCTAAAAATATCGTAACATTCAGAAGAGTCCGCCAGAATACGATCTCGAACAATACGCAAAGGAATGTTGCACGATCCCTGCGTGCGCAGACCGTACGGATCGTCAACTAACTCAGTATGGTTCTCTGTCCCTTCAGCCACTAAATCCCTCAAAATGGACTTGATTGAGGGTAGAGTTCGGTATCGGAAAGGCAAAAAGGTAAGCTGTAAATCTTGGATTATGCTTTGCATATTTCAGTACTCATTCAAGTTGTTCTGTTCGTTGTAGTGGAAGCTTCGATGGGCAGTTTTGAGACGGGTAAATCCTGCGACTGGTAAGTTGTGCACGTTTGTAACTAAAATAATTTGTACAGTGATTTCCTTCGCAAACACACATTGCCACAATTGGGTTCTACAGTGCAGCTGGTGGCATCACGGGCCTGATTTCTTTGTATGGTAAAACGGCTGTTGTTTGATGGGTTTCGTCTAGAGCGTTGATAAGTAATTCGAGCATCGGAAACATTTTATGTCTCTGCGGTGCGGTTCGTTCAAAAATTCTTCTTAAACGCAGCGGTGAGTTATCGTCGATTAAACAATTTAAGAGCACTTTCGATTGTCTGAGGTTGAGGCGCTGATAATGGAACAGCGACTATGGTCAAGGATTTCCCTTGCTCTATAAAAATCTAATACTAATTTCTACTTCGAATTGTTATGTGACCTTCTTCAGCGTCTATTTGCGAATCTCTCCTCAATGTCCGCGGGCTACAAAAAGAGGTTCCGTGGAATTATCGCTCTAAGTGGGCCAACTAGACTTTTAATGGGAAAGGTAACTGCACACATACTAATTCTAGTGAAACTCTCGTATTATTTTTTATTTTGGAATGTCGTTAAATTGATCGCGTGTGGGTTGTATACATTGCATTGATGGTTTCACTCGCGCTTGAGGGAACATTGAATCTTGCCATCCACTGCCGCATGCCGTTAGCACTTTTTTTTTTTGGTGAATTTTTTTGCCATATCTCGCCCTTTTTATAACTAATCTTTGAGCTTTGAACGCAGTTGCAGGCGCCTGATTTCTTTTTCCGCTTCCAAACATTTGATTTGCGTACCTCGTATCAATTAACCGCCCAACAGTGAGTCGCGTCGAAATCGCTCAGTATTATCTAGTAAATGTCGTTGAAAATTGTGTTCGGCCCCCATTTTTCCCTACCTTTATTTCGTAATTCATTCACTGTAGATCGCTAAAGCTATTATGTCACTTGTCACTAGTTTTAGAATTAATTCAATAGAGTGCTCAGCAGTTTGCTGAAAGACAATCGCAATATTTAGACGAGCTTGGTTTTACAAAAGCACTCTCCATATCCTATGTTGTTCTTTTAATATTGCTGTTAGATTTGCTTTGTTGCGTGATAAAGCGAAATTTGCAGGCCATCTATTCGCGTCAGTAATTACCTGTCGTAGCAATATGCTTCCGCTGTTTAAAATGTACTTGTCCGTCAGTCTCTAGTCTACGTAAATTGCAGTTAATTTTTCAGGAAGAAATTTCTTCTGGTGATAAGAATTTCTATCTAAAATAGCCATGCTTCGTTCTCAATTTTTCGCTTTTCGCTTGTGTTTACTTAAGCCCACTTCGCAATTTAAAATATTGAAACAGAAAATACAGCTGAAACCGCAGAGGTTTTTTTTGTTAAATTTTTTCATGAATTCTGTTTCTCAACGAGGGATATACATGACTTGATTATGCTTTGTTACGTACATACATAAATTTTATTATTCAATTTTTTTTGCATAAGGTAATGACACCACATTAACATATTACCTTCTTCAATATTCTTTATTTCTCTCTCATCACTGTCTCTTGAGAAACTATAATTGATGTTGTTGATAGAAGTCCAAATTGATCGTTGATTATGTGTACATAAGAGAACGCCGTGCCGTTTTTTACTGTGACCTAACCATTAAAACATCAGTTCAGAAATGAAAGGTTTCTTAAATATGGAAGGTCTGTCCAACAAGGGACAGCTGAAATCTTCTGTTTCTTTAGAGACTTTATTGTCATCATCACTCCATATCACTCCTGGATTTAAACCTATGGGTTTAAAAAAAATTCAAACATTGACACATGCTGAATTTATGTCCTTACAAGTAAGGCGGGCAGGGTTGTTGGCCCGAGTGAAAAAAGCTGGTCTGCATTTACCACTTATGGCACAAATTTCTGACCATAACCAACCTAATAAAAAGTGAAAGAAGTCTCTCTTCGTGTGTGTAACACGATTATTGTTTATTCCTGTGAATTTTTCTTTTCTTAATGCTTGTACTCTTATCTTGACCCAGCTGTTTTGTTATTTTTGTTTTACTGGTAAGATGAGCCCTTTTTTTTTTCTCTGAGCTCATTTCATTTTCTTTGTGATGTCTAAGAACTTCATAATGTAAGAGAATTTTTATTAGACAGGTGGTTATTGGCCTTCTAATACAAAATCATGTGGACTTTGGTTGTGTTTGGTGGCCAACATTTTTTTTTGTCAGATGGTTTGTATGTTATAAATGGTATTTTGGCTACAAATGAAAAACTTTTCTTTGTAGTGTTACTGCTGTCTAGGCCATTGCTTGGAAAAAAGTGCAAAAAGTTTTAGGCTTATTGACAGGGATCTGAGGCATACTCACTTGGGTGTTTCAGCCTAGTGAGTTATGAAGACACAGATTGGGAGGGAAAGAAAATCTGGTTTCTTGAAAGAAATTTGACCGCAAGTACTGACTATGAATTGACACATATTTTGACCTATGAACAGGATGAGAACTGGCAAATGTTATATGTCTTCACAATTAACCATGTTTTAAGTCATTTTAGTCATAAAGTCATTGCATTTGTATCATTCTTACTGATGAAGGCTTAAACAGTCTTCTAACAAGTCTTCTCTTCCTTTGTAGATGTTTTGAATCTTGTGCTGTATCCTGATCGTCACCCAGATCAGAACAATGCAGGAGCTCGTCATAAAGCCCTGCTATCCCTCAAGGAGTTTAGTGGATTGCAAGTGCTTAACAAGATTGACAAACACTTCAATGTTATCGTCATCATAACCACAGAGGAGGTGATTCCTCTGAGCTTTGAAACCATAGACCAAAGAGCAGACTGGCTGGCTCTGCTTCAAGGCCACTTTGGAAAAGGTGAGTTAAAAAAAAGTGTAAATTTAATCTAAGGTTGCTTTTCCAACTGGCTATAATCCAAAAGAAAAAGAACTACTTGGTGTTTATGTAACCCCCTGGCAAACCCTTAGATGTACAAGAATGACTGAGTTATTGCATATAAATCCTTCCTTCACTGCCCACCAGTTTGTGGTGTCTGTTGGAGATACTATCTTGTTAAATAACTGAAACTGCGTCAAATAGTCTGCCCCTAGAACATTCTAAATGACGATAATTTGCATGTTTTTTTGTAAACTATTTCTAGTACTGTTCTCAAGTAAAGATGATAGGATTTAACTTGATGTCTGTAACAATTCTTGAGTTGCTAATCCAAGAATACATAAAATTGCCTGTTGATGACAAGTATTTTGACCTGACACATGCTTATGTAGATACTGTTCTGTAAGAGGATCACAGCAGTTCTAATGGTCATAATGAAGAATTCAGCTGAAAATTATTTTGCTGAAGAATATTACAGCTTTGATTTGTGATTTATATCCAATTTGAATGGAACACAACAGTACTCAAAAGAGAGAGATAAAATAGTTGAATAACAATGTGATATTTCTTGTTGAGAGAAATTTGACGCTTTTACGTTGTAATCAATGAAACAGCCACAGACTAAGGATCAGTGGAAAAATATAAGACAACAATACTACTTAAAAATTAAATATGAAAATACAAAAAGTTGGAGAACAGGCCATTGCCAGTTTTACTGTTTGAGAATTATGAGAACATTGAATCTCGCATTGGAATATGATTAGATCTTAGCTTGCAAAAATCATGAGGTGAACATTAGATTGATTTCTGCTTTGGATCAGGGTTAAATTTAGTTCAACTCACTATGATCACATACTTTAGTATCATGTGAAGAAAGACAATTCCAAAGAATGTACTCAGATTAACCTTAAACTAAGCTTTTTAACATTATTTGAACATTAATTGATCCTTAAATATCACACAGGTTATTTGATACGAGAGGTAAAGTAAGCTAATATGAAATTATGTGAGGTACACATAGACATTGTCAGAACCTGGATGCGTTGATACGGCTTGTAATGCAAGGTAATAAATCTCTAGCTAAAAAAAAAAAATTGGATCTTTGCAGGTAAACTGCAATTTTGGTAATTGCAGGAAGGAAGCCTGAAAACCTCCAGGCTTTGATCAGATTCAAACTTGTGTCTTCCGGATACACAATACTACAAATAAGCAACAAAATCACTTGTTAGGAGTAAAGTCAAATGAAAAATTGATTTAATTACAAGTTGTAGCAAACATAGTTGACTGATATTAAGCTTACCATTTAGGCTCCTCTCCTCATAAACCAAGACATCAAAATTGTTTGGAAGTACGCAGGTGTACTTTTAGCTTTCTTTGATACATAATTTCTGCATTTTGCCTTTAACTTGTATATATGTAAGCAGTTGAATAATATGTTAAATTAGTGGCTGGATACACCATATTTATTTGACCCTTTATGACTGAAAAATCAGCCCAAAAAATCACCCTTGACTTATACACAGATCATAGACAAAGACCTGACCCAAGCAATCCAAGAAATGAGCATGATAACAATTGCCTAAAGTCCATTAGGAAAACCAAGTTCACAAAACCAGTTCTAATTGTGTTCGAGTTTCGTCAGTTTTCAGCCCGTTATTCATCAACGAAAAAGTTTGAAATAATAAATTTTATGTGGCTTAAACAGAAACCTAGTGGGGCTGATTTCTATTGTATCTTCTGATCTGTAGAGCAGACATTTTTCCTTACAGCTTTGCTGCTGTTTTCGGTGCTAGAATTCTCATTTTCATCAAATGATTACAGTACAGCTGTAGCTTAGTGACCCTGGCAAATGCTGTTTTCTCTCGCAGTTTTGTCTGTTACGCACGTGGACCAATTATGTTATTGTGTAGTTTCCAAGATGGTGGTGTTTTCATCAGGTGATCCTTCGAAGCTCTTTGGTGTTCCTTTGGTCTACTAAATCTCCTTTCAAAAGGTTATTTAAATGCATGAAGATTTCATTTTCAAAGCGATTTACAAAATATGGTAAATAACTTCTCCAGTAAATCAAAGTGTTCTTATATGCTTAAATCATGAATTGTGGTGATGTAAACAAGTGCTAATAAACTTCACAGCATATGGTTACGTTTTGCTCTGCAGTTTTTTTTTTATCTCACTGTGTTTTCATTACATTCTCAGAAATAAGATATCAGCCATTTGGGAAATTTCTATCGATCTGAATTTTTCTTTACTAGAAATTATGAAAAATCCAATTTTTTACCTCGAAAAGGGGGGTCGACTTATACATGGATAAATACAGTAAATAATAGGTCTATATTTATGGAGGGAGAACATATTTTAGCCTGATTGTGTTTTAACACTGTTTGTGTTACGTGGCTTTTATTTTTAAAATGTTTAACCCTTATACTCCTTGATGTGATTAACATATAACTTCTCCCTATTACATCCATACACTATCCAGCAAACAGGTATTGAGAATACTCAAACCTATCAGGTAGAAGTTGATATATTGATCTAACACCAAATTTTTGTAACTTATTTACAAGAAAATGTGTAGTAGCCAGAAAGGACAATTAATGATCGGATCAAGGGAGTTATAGGGTTGGGGTTAAGTTGCTGCTGTAAATTTTTTTTTTTTAACACTCAATTGAGTCTGCTTTATAACATTGAATTCTCTTACAAAATAAAAGAGGAGGTGTTCATGGAAACTAAATGATAGATCTTTTGACCTTCCTTTATGTGCAAAATTTTATTTACATCCCTAAGTGAGCTGGTGACCCTTAGAAAACAAGGTAGTGTTTGATGCTGAATTGATCAGATTTCTTTCACCTGTTAACCCTTAAGAGGAGGGCTGCAGTCTAGCAGCACTCGGTGGCCCCTGGCGCCTTACTTTTGCTCTTGGGGGACTCGAGAATCTTAGTTGGTAGGTAAGTAGGTAGACTTTATTTAGCCAGGGATGGCCCATTCAGCAATGAGGCTGATATCCAGAGGGGCCCTGGGGTAAAAAATTACAATAGTTAAGAATACAAGACATCTTGAATGCTGAAAATACAGGATAAAATTTAAAAATACAAAAAATATTTATAAGTAAAGGTAGAAACAAACGTGCAACAGTTTACAAGAATATAGTGTCTATAAAATTTTAAAATTTGTAGGTATTAAATAAAACTTTGAAGGAAGAAAGTGACTCGGCATTTTGAATACAACGAGGTAAAAGGTTAAAAAGAGCTGAGCCCGAATACCTTGAGAAACTCATGTTCCCACCAATAACGTAGCTCCATTTGCTGCCTTCGAATACCTTAAAGTTTGTTTTGCAAGGCTTAGTTTCGGTTTGGGCAGGTGCAAATCTGTTCTCCTGCGAGTATTATAGCTATTTACATTACAATTTCTAGTGAAATAGTCACTCAAATATTCAGGTACTAGACTAAAAAGCATATGCTAGGCACCCTAGATTTCACAGTTTCCGAGAACTGGGCTCCCTTCACTTTTTCTCTGAGCATAGCCTTGAAGGGTGATTAACATATAGTTTCTCCTAACATTATCATCCCTTAGTCAAACAAGAAGGTTAGGAGAATAAATGAAATGATCACCTACCAAAGAAGCTCTTGACTGTTAAACAAATTCTCCTTGTGGACACCTTAGGAAATCTATAGAGAACAGTATGGAGAATATGCACACTGATGTTAGCTGTAAAGGGTTAAGGCATTCCACCCCTGTGGACTCGGTATAAATTGTCTTTTTAGTCTGCCTTTTAGCTGTGATAAGTGGGAGGTTAATCAAACAGTTTTGCCCACTTTGTATTTTTCTTTCTTGTTATATCTTTGCTTGTTGAAAATGTATTATTATTTATTATTATTAAACTTTATTATACACAGAATTTAATAAGTTGTCACTTATTTACATTGAAGCTGTGTACCCCACCCATCCCACCCCAGGGGAGGAGATCCATCACACAGAAATCTCGTGCGTGGGAAATTAACGTCTCCTACCCCTAACCCTGCAGGAGACGGGACCTCCATTTATTCACCCCTATCCGAGAAGACTAGAATATCTAACCATCTCTTGATGTTATAGAAAGGTAGCATATTCTTCTCAATTATTTTAAGACCTTGAGTGTTGGTCGGGCCGGGGCTCGAACGCTCGACCTCCCGCACAACAGTCCAGCGCTAACCACTGCGCTAACCGAGAGGCGGAAATGGAAAGGAGAATTTTTTTTGGCTACAAATGACATACTTTTCTTTGTGGTGTTACTGCAGTCCAGGCCCATTGCATGGAAAAAATTGTGGAAAATTTTAGGCTTATTGACCGGGCTTGCAGACATAAACACGTGGGTGTTTTTTGTCACTAGTGGAAATAAAAGTTCTAACAAAAATGCAAATTATTAGAACTGGTTTCTTATACTGATAGCAGTTTGAGCAATATTTAGATGCCTTTGTCTGAAGTTAGAAGTTAATTGTACCACTTGTGTTGTGTCTTTCTCAGAAAAATCCTTTGAAGGTATCGTGCCACACAAGCAGAAGATCAAAGCTGGAGAAGCTCACCTGCGTTTCTACGCCACTTTCTTCTCACTCACTAAGAAGGACAGCTATCGTCTAATCGGTCACTGGAAGTTTACAGCGCTACCCAAATATGGTGCTGTAGAAGCTGGATTTGCCTTTCAGGCCAGCCAGGAGTCTCAATCAGGGGATAAACTTATGACTTACTTCTTTGCTACTCGAGCTGGAAAAGAGATACACGCGTTATTTGACAGTGTGTGCAGAGCGGGAGAGGTGGTTCCTGGTCAAGAATGTCTATCAGGTAATATGACAAGCTGAATTATACACCCATTTTGACCGATTCTGTCCAAAGGAAAAAGTCAAGCATCGTTTTGTTTTTGTTACCTCTATTTCAAGACGAGGCTCTTTTCTAAGAGCAGCGCATACTTTTCTAAGAGCAGCGCATGCTTTTTCGCTCCGACGAAGGGCTAACGCTCGAAACGTCAGCTTTTGTAATCGTTACGGTGACCAATTTGCCATTTCAACTTTGTTGATATATCCAAATTATTACACGACTCGGGCAGTCAGAGGGCCAATAACTAAAATCAACCAATCAAAATGCTCTATTGCCGTTCAATATTCTCTCAGTATTGGACCGGGCACTGTCCCGAATGGTCCCGAATGATACCGCACTTGTGTCCCTTTGAACTTCAGTCGTATAATAAATCTCTCATTAACCAAGCTTGCTCGGGACCGTGCTGGAAGAATATCGGCCCTCGGTCTTTTTTGTACGGACCTCGCTGCGCTCGGTCCGTACTGTCAAGACCTTGGGCCGATATTCTCCCAGTACGGCCCTCGCGCTTGGTTAATAAGATATATTTATTTCGTTATTCCCACCGACGCAGCCCCAAACAGTTTCTTTCTAAACTATTAGCCTTTATTCATTTGTATATTTACCAAGGTTGTTTGGGATATTTTTTGAAATTCGAGAGAATTAAAGAAGGATATTTGATGGTTAAGAAATTATTTGTTGATTTGCCTTTTCAGAGTCAGGTCAGCCTGGCACTAGTGAGGAAGACGGCAGCCGACCAGGGTTCCTTAGGCGCGCCTGGCTCCGAATGAGTGGCAAACGGTCGCCCAAAAAAGGAAAAGCACCCAGGCCAAGGAGTATGAGCATGCCGTCCTCAAGCCAGGGGAAGAAGAACAAAGCTGTAGGTACCGAGCAGAAATCTCCAATAGAGGCAGAAAAACCTTTGGTTCGGAGAAATGAGTCGGTACCCTCAGATATAGGAGGTGGTCGAGATCACACTGACAGTTTTAATGAAGTATTTTTGAATAACGAAAAAACCTCTGTAGTCTCCCCCAAAATCCCACCCCCGGGCTACCAGAATATACCCGGGGTGACACCCGAGGGATATCAGGTAATGGAACCGGCGGATGACGAGGCCTTCAAAGGTAGGAAGAGCAGTGGGGTATCTGCCACCTCGCGAAAGAAATCACAGGGGAAACGTCAGAGTGGACCAGAAAACGGTAAAGTTGACGAGGTGGAAGGATATGTTGAGGTAGATGGAAGAGATGAAGAACTACTTGAAAAAATAAGGACAAACTCATATGCAAAAGAAAAACGCGGAGATTCCGTCGAGAGAACCTCCCGCGGGTCAGACGGTGGGAGAACGAAGTCCTCCGCTTCAGAGAAACGGCAAAGCGATAAAGTGGCAAATAGTGTAATAAAAGAAGAGGAGGGAGAAGAAGAAGTGAGAAAAAAATCCGAAATTGAAAATCAACGGGCGTCGAAAGGATTAGCGCAGTGTCAAATTATTGTTACTCCAAGTAATGAGACCGACGAAGAAAAACTTAAAAATGGAAGCGAAGAGACGGCGAATATCGACGACGTGTTTCTTCCAGAGGGAATCAAAACTGTACGTGTTACAAGCGATAATGCTGATAAAAATCCTGATTACGTGAATGGTGATATTACGCTGAACGGTGCAAGTGTAAAAGCGGTCGAAAAACATGTGAATGGAACGTCTGGAAGTGTGTCTACGCGTCGTGGTATGAAAACCCCGCCAAGCCTTTCCCTTCAGCCAACGTCAACAGCCGGCAGCGCAGAGCACCTTTATGTGAATTCACCAAAAATCGTCGATTATGTTAACGTCAAAGGTGCCCGAACAAGCCCTGGCGGGAGATCCCGCGTAAAAACCGGCGTAGCAAAGACTGGTACGAGCAGTAAATCAAGACTAAACCCGTACGCTATATATGATGGGAACGATGATTCGATTTACCATAGTGTGGAATCGTTAATGCCTTCACATCCAGGCTATCAAAATGTCATGAACAGCGATCCCTCGCGAAGTCACAGCTTTGAAAACATCGCTGGTCATTCGTACGCGAACGTGATGGGCGGGCATCCGTCCTATCAAAACATTGGGCACAGGGACCGAATGTACGTTAATGTCATGTCACAGCAGAATCAGGGCAATTTAAACTATATAAAGCTTGAAGGTGTAGATTCGTCTCACGGGTCCAGTCCGTTTGCAAGCACTTCGCCAAAATCGGCAAAGCCATCGAGCGATTACACTTGGATCGACGAGCGAAAAACCAAACTTTTGGCGGATACAGCGAAATTGCACTCTGAAAGAAGGCAGGAGAATCTACCGCGAGTCATGAAGAAATAATTTTGTAAATAGTTCTCGAGCATTAGAGGTTCTAGCCCCCTCCTGGCTTCGAAGGGAAGCGGGAAAACGCGCGCGAAAATGGTCACGCAATTCACACCAAAGTGTAAGGCGAGAAAACGCACGAAAATTGTCACGTAATACCTAGTCTGGGCCTCTCTGGCCCCTAACCAGGAGTTGCGACTGACCAGATGTTATCACCTCC